ACCATAATGTCTGAATAAAATACTTTAAAACAAATACCATAAAAGTTCTTCCAAGTATTTTTCTGTTTTTTAGTGTTTTTTAAAGCTGTTGTTTCTTGTGAATATTATTTAAAATCAAAAATGTCCTTCTTGGTTAATAAAATGTAAAAAAAAGTGACTTGTGTATTCAGTCTGTTCATTAGTGTTACAATATTAAATATTAAGATTATTCTACTGGGAAAAAAATAATAAAAATGCAATAAATTAAAAAAATCAGTTCAAAAACAAAACTCAGTTTCACTGATTATTTTATTTGTGTTCGATATACAACCATTAACACTGTTGTGTTTAAAACTTGATTTTTGTGCACATATATAATTTCATGAGATAAATCGTTTTTAAAAAGCTCATATTTCCAGCGTACAGTACATCTGGTCATTTGATTAAATACTCGTCTGCAGAGTTTTCCTCCAGAACGACTAATAAAAACAGGCCGGAGCAGAAAAATAAAACAAAACCTTTTTTCTTTCACTCCATAAATGTTCAAACAAGAAAACGCTGCAAACAATAAAATAAAATCCTGTGGTTTTCCTGAATCCACTCTGCAGAAACAAATCAAATGATTTATTTTAAGAGGTGAGGATGAGTTTTAAGCTGTTTTATTCTTGTCAAACATGCAAAAGTTCAGCTTCATTCTGGGATAAAAAGACTTCAGGTTTTTAGTTAAAACCTAAAAATATCCCTCAGTTTCCAACGTTTTAAAGAGTAAAACTAACAAACAAACAGAACTCTGTTCAGATAAAACAAATCTGAATATTTTCCCACATCAAAGCATTCAGAAATAAACTTTATTCATTTATTGTTGAGACACAAAAACACTGAAGAGCAAAAATCAAAGCTGAAGATTCGAACTTATGGAGGCACAAAGTGAACCGGTTCAGAATCTGAGTCCTTTCAAAGACAAACGTTTTATTTCAAAACAAACTGAAACTACATTAAAATAATTATTTAAAAAAACACATTGATTATTTTGGCTCAAACTAATTATGAATGTTTAAAAAGTGGAAGTAATGAGTGACATCACAGCTGATGATGATGATGATGATTTCCACGAGGATCAGATCTGCTGAGACCAGAGACTCGGAGCTCGCCGACTTCACGACGACTCAAAAAAAGACCAAAGACTAAAAAAAAGGGCTAAAAACAGAAAAACGTGTTTCAGAGACGTTCAGACAGAAACTAACATGAATACAGCAACATGTGTCCCAACAAGAAACACACAGAGGTCTCTGGACCCGTCTGGACCCATCTAGCTCCTTCTGGACCCGTCTGGACCCATCTGAAACCATGTGGATCCACTGGATCCTTCTGAAACCACGTGGACCTGTTGTAAAGTTCGTTTCCTGCCCTGCAGCTCTGTGTTTCTGTTAGTTAATATCTGAACAGACCCCTGAGGAAACTGAGAACCTGGAAAAGGTTCTGACCCGTTTCAGACAGAAGAAGGGACTCTGCTTGAGGCTCAGCGAGGACCAGGACCTGGTGGTCTCTCTCAGGTCAGAACAGAAAGGTTGAGTCTTTAATCTGCTGCTGGTGACTCTGGAGGAACTCGTGGTTAAAACAGACCCAGAACCTCAGAGACTCTGGACTGATCCACAAACCTAAGGCTGGACCACTGCTCATAACCGACAGGTGGTCTCCCGGTCTCTGGTTTGGACTCCTGGTCCAGGTTCTGAACCGTCAGCTCCAACTCTTTGGAACAAAATAAAAACTGTAAAATTTATTTTTAAGTCACAGATTTTTGGATAAAACTTTAATTTTAAAGATTTGATTCCTGTAAGTGCTGTCCATAAGAAGCCTCTGTTTACAGGCTACAAACAAACAAACAAACAAACAAACAAACAGACAGACAGAAAATAATCAATAATTGCATCAACCTCGGACAGGATTTTTATACTTCATACGTCAGTGACCTCAGAGGAAACAACAGATGAAGCAAGTCCCCGCCCACATGTAGGACCATATGTAGGACCATATGTAGGACTATATGTAGGACTATATGTAGGACCAAGTTGGACCACATGTAGGACTATATGTAGGACCAAGTTGGACCACATGTAGGACTATATGTAGGACTATATGTAGGACCAAGTTGGACCACATGTAGGACTATATGTAGGACCAAGTTGGACCACATGTAGGACTACATGTAGGACTATATGTAGTACTATATGTAGGACTATATGTAAGACCAAGTTGGACCACATGTAGGACTACATGTAGGACTATATGTAGGACTATATGTAGGACTATATGTAGGACCAAGTTGGACCACATGTAGGACTATATGTAGGACCAAGTTGGACCACATGTAGGACTACATGTAGGACTATATGTAGTACTATATGTAGGACTAAATGTAGGACTATATGTAGGACCAAGTTGGACCACATGTAGGACTATATGTAGGACTATGTGTAGGACCAAGTTGGACCACATGTAGGACTATATGTAGGACCAAGTTGGACCACATGTAGGACTATGTGTAGGACCAAGTTGGACTACATTTAGGACTATATGTAGGACTATATGTAGGACCACATGTAGGACTATATGTAGGACTATATGTAGGACCACATGTAGGACCACATGTAGGACTATATGTAGGACCAAGTTGGACTACATTTAGAACCACATGTAGGACTATATGTAGGACCAAGTTGGACTATATGTAGGACCACATGTAGGACCACATGTAGGACTATATGTAGGACCAAGTTGGACTACATTTAGGACTATATGTAGGACTATATGTAGGACCAAGTTGGACCACATGTAGGACTATATGTAGGACTACAATTAGGACTATATGTAGGACCAGATTGGACCACATGTAGGACTACATGTAGGACTATATGTAGGACTATATGTAGGACTATATGTAGGACTACATTTAGGACTATATGTAGGACCACATGTAGGACCAATCGTGTTCAGGACATATGGACTCAGTCAAAGACAGCGAGGGACGACCCGGCTGCTCAGATCAGGATGTGGATGAGACATGGGCAGACGGGGACATGTGGGCAGACGAGGACACGTAAGAGGACAGGGACACGTGGGCGGACGGGGAGGGGACCGTCGTGGTGAGGTTGTAGGTTGAGTTTGGCGACGATGCCGGCGACACTAGAGGGCTGTAAATGGGGCGGGTGGGGACGGCTGAGGACGGGGACCGTGGCGCCGTCGTGGTCGGGGAGTCCGAGCTGACCTCGTCCCCTTCCTCAGAGTCCCACACCTCGCTCTGCAGGTAGTCGGCGAACAGGGCCTTGGCCCTCTGCAGGACCCGGCTGAGGTTGTGGCGCCGGACCAGGCGGTCGAAGTGCATGGCGACCTCGTTGTAGTCCAGGTTGTTCTTGATGATGTGGTCCCGGTGCTCCAGCAGGATGGACAGGCACAGGAACAGCATGAAGGGGTTGCCTTTGCCGAACTCCTGAGGAGGTGGCAAGGAGCACGGTTTGATGCTGCTTCTGCTGCCGATCGGGGATTTGGTCCCGGGGGAGGACGAGTTGTGGACCGAAGACCTGCTGCCGGACAGAGAGCTACCCCCGAAGGACAGGATGGGCGAGGACAGGCGGGAGCTGCTCTGAGCGTGGGACGGTGATGTAACGGACGGTTTTACAGACAACGCTGGGGGGGATCTGGTCCCTGAGGTGCTCAGAAGCTTGGGGACATTTCTTGGTAAGGCCTCGCTTCCGTTGGTTATGGACGGGGACGGGGATTTTGGAGGAGAGTCTGGAGAAACTCCTGGCCAGCTGGAGTTAGACACGGAGGACGATGGGGAGACGGAGGAACCGGTTTTACAGACCGGTAGGCCGGAGCGCGTCGACTCCGGAGACAAGTTGTCACAGTTTTTAATGAGAGGCGTCTGTTCTCCCGGGTCGTCCTCGCTGTCCACTGTGGACTGGCGCCTCGGGTTGTTTGGACTCTGCCGGTCTCTGTCCTCCATCTCAAAACTATCTTCATTGCGAGCCGTGTAGTATTTAAACTCTCCAAAACTGGTTTGTCTCTGACAGCACCGACCCTGCAGACCCGACTTCTCCATCGGGTCTTGAGTGTCATCACATTCGACGCCATCCCCTCCCCCGCCGTCCCCTCCGTCTCGCTTGTCCTCCTCTTTGGGGACAAACGTCTCGCTCAGATCCGGCTCTTCTCTCGACGGCCTCAGCATGTGTCGCCTCCGCTGCTTCTCCTCCTCGTCCGGGACGCCGTTCTCGGACGCCCCGTCTCGGCGCGGCGGCGCGTCCTCGGGCGGCCCCAGCAGCTCCACCTCGGTTTCCGGAGGGTCGGGGGGCAGGGAGCTCCAGGTGACCTCCAGCATCCTCAGCGCGTCGTCGAAGGCAAACTCCCGCTTCAGCTCCAGCAGCAGCCAGCGGTAGCAGAAGAAGAGGTCATCGGCCCCGCGGGACACCAGGTAGGCGTAGAACTCCGGGTCCGAATACTGCAGGAGCAGCTTCAGGTGCTGGAACTTGACGGACATGAGCTGCCCGTCTGGGCGGAAGTTCCCCTCCAGCCGCTTCATGATGCCGCAGAAGCAGATGAAGGCGTGCGCCTCGTTGTCCATGACGGCCAGGATGGGCGAGGCGATGTCGCTCATGCCCTGACAGTACGAGATCTGAAAAACACCAACAGTTACACGAGTCCTCGCAACGGACTCTACAGAACCTTTACTACGGAGAGAAAACAGACTCATAAAGTTTGTGAGTGTGTAATACAGTTTGTGTCTGTGTAAAACACGATTTGTAACCCGTAATAAACACTTTGTGCGTAACTTTGGGTTTTTGTAAGTGTATATTTAAATGCACACACGCAAACATTAATAAGTTACGAATACAAAATAAAAGTAAACACGCACAAATATAAATTACACAAACATTAAAACTTCACGCACAATTTTTTTACCTTCAACCTCAAAAATCTGATAATTACACAAACTGGTTCCTACGCATACAAGTTGTTAAATATGCATGGACAAAACCACATTTACACACAAATCAGGTTACGAGTGCACATATCAGTTTGAGACTGTTTTCACGCAGCTGAGAGCTCCCAGATTCATGTGTAAATGATGCGTTTACATGCTGCTAAAAAACGGGGACATTTGAACTTCCTTCGAAGCTTTGTATTATTTCTGTGCCGAAGTGGTAAAGACGTTTTTGTAATATATAAGAAATAAAAGAAAGAAATAAAAATAGCTCATTAGTTCTACTTTTTAATATCATAAGAAACAAATCGGATTTGATTTTGATTTCTTTTTGAAACTTTTATATTTGTGCATGTGTACTTTTATTTTGTATTCGTAACTTATTAATATACATACATACATACAATATACATAGTACATTTAAATACACACTTATAAATACCTGAAGTTATGCACAAAATGTTTTTTACGGGTTACAAACCATGTTTTACACACACACAAACTTTATGAGTCTATTTTCTCTCCATACATTACAAACACCTGGACCCACCTGAGGGTGCGTGATGGCGAAGGTGGTGAGCAGGTCTGTGAGAGCGGTCAGGTGAGGACTGTCCTCTGAGCCGGCGTAGTACGGATGAGCCCGGTCCGTCCTCAGGACGTCTTTCAGGACGTTCCCGCGGATGAAGTCCAGCTCCTCCAGGCTGACCCGGGCCGTCCACTCCCTCTTCAGCTGCTCGTACTCCTTGGTCTTCCTCTTCATGTAGTCCATGCGCTCCTGGCCGCTCAGTCCGTCGGGGTAAACGTTCAGGAGGTACCGCCAAACGACCTGAGGAGTCAACCACAGGTTAGTCAGCACCTTCGACCTCCGGTCCACCGCGGGGACCCTCAGGACACTGAACGATGTCAGGAGGTCGACCTTTCTGAGCGATGGCTCCACGCCGCCGTGGTAGATCCTCAGTCTGAGTTCTTCGGGTCGGGTCAGCTGGCCCTGTCCGTTCAGGTAGCTGTGGAACTCCGAATCGCTCAGCGGAGGCTTGAAAGGTTTGATCTCCTCCCCGTAAGACCAGGTGAAGGCCTGCTGGACCCGGGACAGGGTCCGACCCACCTGAACACGAGCAAACAGGAACAGCGTCAGGAAAAATATCAATTCATGAACCGACGGGAAACATCAGAGGCAACGAGGGGTTCAGAGTCCAAGAAAACTTTGTCACTACAGCTGGAATCGAACCGACAACTCTCGATGAAAGAAGAATGCTAGAACCCCTGATGTATGGAGCTAATGCTATATCGTCACATCTTTGTGAGTATTAACTTGTATCAGTCAAAGTTCCCTTTGAAGGGAACAATGAAAAAGAAGAAACTTTAATTTGGAGTTGTACCCTTCAAAATAAGAGTCTGGCACTGTTATAAATAAAGTCCACAGATCCTGTTAGACAGAAGAACCTCAGCTTAGCCTGTTAGCTTTAGCGTTAGCGCCGACGCTATACTGCCTTATATGGCAAGCTAACAAGCTAAACTGAGGTCCTCCATCCATATTTTCAGTTGCAGCTGAGTCATTTTTGTGTTCCCCTCCCTGTCATGTGGATGCAGGACCTCAGTGA